CACTATTCTAGGTCTTTATGTTAATATGACCAAGTTGCGAAACCAAGGTAAAAGAACTTCTATATTTTAGCCACTTAAAATTGACTTTAGAAGAATCATGCATTACTTTGATCTAGATATACTGGATTAAATCCAGAAAATACATTTTTAAAGATTAAATATTCTTTAAAATATCGAGTATGCTAAGTGAGAAAATGGTCAATGTAAAATATTGCAGATATTTGCTTATCCTACCCGGACACAAGTCCCCTTGAAGCTAATAATGAGACCATGGCGAAAAATAAAATGAAATTAAGCCTGAGTGAGGAAGTGGGTTGACCTCGATGTCGCAATTGGTCTTGTTGTCCAGGATACTTAATAGAACGCACCTAGTCCTAAGTCCTCTGTCATGGTAGTTATCATAATTCACAACATCATAGAGTGGACTTGGTACATTCATAAACGCTTCGTCGGCATCGTAGTCGGCATCAGCAGTAACTGCTGGCACCCTCCGCAGAGAGCTACGAACATGTCAAATGGGCAGGTGAAGTCAATACTTCCACCAACATGCTGCCGAAAACGGTAACACTATCACTCCTCTTTCTGTCCTGGCCTATCAATCTACTCTTTACCCTCTTATCAAACTCACGCCCTATAACAACTTCTTACTTGTTTACATTTCACTCGTTAAAACGTGTGCTCTTTTGTTGCAAATCTAGTGTTGCCTCATCACACCTGTTATTCCTGCGACCCCCTCTCTTTCGATCGGCTAATCCGACTCAAGCCTCCAATCCAGATCCCCTTAATGGTTCCGTGGATTGTTCCTTATATTTCTGGTTGAGTTATTTAACTCGGCTCCAGTCCCAGTGTGCGTTTAACTCAAGGCCCTAGAAATATGTACACTGCCGCCTCACCGAGCAAAGCGCTTAGGCTTTGATTCCCATGATTGAAGATATCCGGCATTGCGTTTACGGGTCGTCTCCTTGATTAAACCCGTGTAACCTGAGAAAACTGTGGACGCCTATCTCTGGTCGCATGCTGAATATAAAGTAGATTTTACTACATTTGGCCATAACGTCGAATTTCTGTGATGGTTTGCTTATCCGTCCACTTAGCCACGCCCATAAAGTTGTACTAGTTTATTCGAACCGGACATTACTCTATAATAACGTTTTTGCTGCTGCCTTCAACTTTCCTCTTCGCGTTCCCTTTTTCTTCGTTTAGCAATATATACTGGAGGTCACACCATCCTGATCTTCATATCTGCACGAGGAAAGCTCATATGAAGAAAGTTTATGTGAAAATCCAATAAGATGTGGGACTAATAAATTCCTTGTGGCGAAATTTAGATACCAGTTGTTTGTCGCCTTTAGCGAACTATGGGGAATATATCTGATATTTATGATCGAATGGTAGTCTAGAAGCCTACGTATAACGCAAAAATAAACAAACTAAACGCCTTAAATGTGCAATACTATAATTTAACATAAAAATGCTAATAAAAGTACGTATTTTTTAATATTATACATATTAATTCCATTTTGTCTTTTTTTGTTATAGTTTATATTATTGATGTAGTCTATTCAAAATGCGTGCTTGTCCTCGCGGATTTTTGCGGATTGAAGACCTTCATGCGCCTACTCACTCTATTCTTCAGGCTTTGGATCCATTTTTATCTCAAGTATCTATAATCGTTTTAAGAATTTTATCCTGCATTTTATTACCCAATTATGACATTCCTTCTTAAGTATGTTAATGTACTGCTCACCCACTAGTAGTTCTAAGCGCTTTTTAACGAGGAATTATGCCTTTTAATTATTTTTCCTTAAAGCTTTATAAATAATCTTAAATTGTAGCTACCTCAGTATTTAACTTTATAGTCACTCACTGCTATATTTGATATATATTCCCTTTAACTTCATTGTTTATATCATTATTATTTCTAGGGTCCATTTTAAATTAGTGTATTTGTAAGCAATATTATTGATTTTAGAACTTAAATAACTTGCTATACTTTATTTACAATCACAATTATTCTTTTCATTTTTTCCTAGTGCTAGTGATCATTAACTTTTAGCATTAGTTCTTTCGTATATGCTAGCTTTTTCGCTTGATTCATCAAAGTCTTTTCTTTATTACGTAAGGAAAATATTATTTGAAATATAATTATTTATGCTTATTATATTTGGCTCTGTTAACTATTTAAATCTCTTGCTTCATTATCACTGTTTATGGTGGATTTCCTGTTAGCTCTTTAATCTTTATTTATAAAGTGTCAATCCATTTATCCAATAGTATTATTTAATGCCTGCTCTTTTAAGGACGCTTCATAAGAACGATATTAAACTTATTCTTGATATCCTTTTTTATAAAACCCGAGTTATAATAATTTTTCACCTTATTTATTTTATATTTGCCAAACATTAGCTAGACTTACTTATTTTCGTCTGCCAGCGCACACCTGTTTCGAAGGGTAGTGTTCGTGCTCTTAAGGGCGTAGGCGCTAACATCAGCATTGCGGTTGAATGTTTTGCCAAAGCTGCAGAATCTGTTGTGGCTGGTCACAATGATCTTGAGCTTAAAATGGCTGCCGCCTGCGTAGAGGTTAGTTTAATTGATAAATTTTTATTACGATACTGTTCTGGCTAAATCCTACCTATGCCTATTTTTAATCAGAACTGGATACTCTGTACCAATATTTTATAGGAATCGATGGTGGCTCACATTAATAATTTGAAACGAAGGCTTGGCCAATAATAGAATTTACTCGTATCAGCATAGCTTCATCATCAAGAATCTGAGGCGCTTAAGCCTTTTTGAGCAAATTCAACAAGGTATAAACCTGCTAAGTATTCGTATTGACCTTAACCAGCCTCTGTTTCTGTATTTAATGCAATATGTCTCATAGAGATAAACATTCGGAAGCCTATTTCACAATTCCTTATAGTTACCGCAATTCATAATCCTTTCAAGCAAAGTTTCTATTTTTCTTTTGTTTGTTGTTTTTAGCGATTTTGCTAAATGATGCCTTACAAAAATGGCCTGAGCATATGAATATCCTTAGATGCCATATATTTTAAGCAGATAAAATAAAAAATGCGCATAATCACAATATTTTTTAGACATGGCAGTAAGTAGTATATGAATTTGTATACTTGCTTTTCCTCCGCATATTCCATTTAAATTCTTTTAGTTGTTACTTCTCCTACCTTCTAAGATGTTTTCTTATACTATATCCATAAATCATGTATAATTACTACTGTATATTATTTTTCCTTGACTGCTATCAGTCAAATTTTTGGTACTTTGAATCATATATTTATTTTTATCTAGATATTTCTTTTTATGCTTCATAAACCAGCCTTTTATTGGAATATATCAATAAATTAGCTATAAATTAAGATATGATTGTATCATCCTCTTTTTGCACACGTATCTCTTCCAAACTCTTTATTTGCTGCACAGTTTGAGGAAAATCAATTTAGATTTTTGAATTGAGTTTGCTAGTTTTGTTATCTATATTCTAGAACATTCATATTATTTTCTTCTATAATTCCCTAATGACTCATTTACAGCCGATTTTATTTTTCCGGAATATACCATACTGTTTTCCACAAATTGTAAACTCCGACGTTGCGTTCATTGGCTATAAAGAGACCCTAACTTCATCAAGTAGTATTTCTATTTTGGTAGGTGTTTAGCTAAGGTACTGCTTGCCAGATACGCGCTCGGCACCAAAATGGTTATCTGGTATCTTAATCATGAGTTTGTTACCTATCCAACAGTATATTTGATTGTGAACTTCCATCTTATATAATATTTGGTTTTGTTTCAGAATGTCGCTTTTTAGAGTGATTATAGATTATCTTAATGATGTGAGGCATTTTAATCTGCTCATAAATATGACTCCACAAAACTGGATCTGATATTCTATTTTTAATCAAAACTTAGTTTTTAGCTCTAACTCTCTTACGGTATCATTTACTTTACTAAGATGACCTTAGGGTCACCTCATACCATGCGATTACGTTTTCCAGCTCCCGTTTTCTTTTCATCATGCGTAAATATGCATGATGGTCAACCTCTATCCACAGGATATTTTTAAAGTAAAGCTTTCATTCAAAGGCCACATCTTTGATGGCAAGGCCTGAAGAATTAAAACCTTCATACTCCTAAAGGGAACATAATGCGGCAATTTTGACTTGGCCAAATTTAACTATAATTCTGTAAACTGTGCGAAGCCTCTTAAGTTAATGTTAGATTCCTATGGATCTTTTACAAAGGAATAGATCATTAGCAAGCATCAGCTTATTTTTCTGCCTATAAATGTACATAAGCACTTATTTACGTTCTGCATATCTGTCATAATCTCTATACCTAGATTCAAGACTCCTTATAACCAAGGCTATCTAAAAGGTAGTCACTACTGTCGCATCTCAGTCGTAAAAGTAATTCCATTATAAAGGACTACTTCGAAACTACTTTGAGTAGTACTTTTAGTAATAAGGCTTGATTTAACATCCAAATGAATTCGTGTTGGAAGTTACTTTCAGAAAATATCTTAAGTGCTCGTAGAAATTATCATGTAGATAAAGGCCTAATGGAAGAAGGTCTTATTTTTTCTAACTTAAATAAATTATCAGTCAGATCCAATATTTTTGTGCTCGGTTAATAATTATTTTGAAATTTACACATTCTTCAAATTTATCATCTGGAGCACAGTCCTATATTTGCTCTACGGCTTTTTGAGCTTAGCTAGTGTCGTATTAGGCCTAGGAACTAGTTCGGTTGCTGGATGAATAAAATATTAGCTTTTCTATATTTGTCAAGTTATTTCATTTTCAAATAGCTGAGATTTCTTTTATAAATCATACGACACTTAATAAGTTGATTTATAATGACTAATGGATAAGATATATCATGCATACTTTACAACTTCATCTTAATAATACAATATGCTAGCGTGTATAGCAGTATGACCTTTTTTATTAAGCTATATGGATAGTTGTTTTGTCGCTTAATATCATTGCAGATAAATTGTTAAATTCTTTTTCCTTATTTGAACTGAGGGATATAATATTAAACTTACCTTGGACTTTTTCGGCCAAATATGGCTTTTGAATCCCACATTTTTGGTGATTAAAGAAAATAATTAAGTAAAATATAAAAAACAACATATATAGGTCTATTCCAAACAAATGCAGAGGGTACCTTGCAGTAATTACGAAGCAAACCGAACATTTGCTAGAAGTGGGGACCATAGAAATACAACGGCTTTATTTAAGTCTTTAGCATTTGCTCATCTATTTCTTTTTCCCAAGTTATAACTTGGTCTCTTTATATTACACATGTATGACAGAAAGGATGAGAGGTGGATCTCGTATTTTACGCATTTGTTAATGCTAGTTCGTCAATTTGCCTAAGTCAATCAGAGAAAATAATATTAAGCCTTTTATATATTTCTGTATCTAGGCCCGTAAAGCTGGATTTCGCCTTTCGACGGTTGCAGATGCCTTTGCCTATCAGCCTTTGTCAAAATCCAACAGTTCAGATTCGGATACACTAAACGTAACAAGCCGAGCGAGACTCTTCTCTCGATCATCATTATCGGCATCTAACGAGAAAGCTTTCGCACTCCGCGATGACAAGCGGGAATCGGGTCCGGTCACATCAGAGTTGGTTTCTGCATCACGAGATCTTCTTTTTGCCGTAGCAACTGCTCTTATACTAGCAGACAAGATTGTTATGAAACGAATTCTTCTTGTACAAAAGAAGGTATATCATTTATATTTTTTTACCTTAAAAAAGTTCCTAGAATTGCGTCAAATCGATTAGCTCAGTCGTCCTTCACAATATTAATCGGCCTTCGTGCCTCTGAACTTTCCTTGGCTTTTAGCTAAGGCCTTGAAGTTAATTTTTCTGTTTGTTTAAAACTTTATTTTTCGTTACCTTTTTTGCTTTCAACTTTACTGAGAATGGCCATATTGCATTTTGCGTGGTGACCTGCTCAACTGGAGCAAAAAAATGTTCTTATTTACCACAGGATTTCTGCGC